GAAATTTAAAAGATCGCGAAAATGTGTGACAAAATTACATTATCGTTGTTTACATAAAATAAACAAAATGAAACAAGTCTATATGAATGAAGAATCAAAATTTATCTGAAATTAAAACTAAAATCTACTTAATTTATGTAAAAATATATAAATTTCGAAATTGTTATATATTCCAAAAAGTAACAGTAGCGTTTTTTTAAAGATCTATAAAAATATGACAGAAATGTAATTAAGTTTATTGTACTATACGAAATTTATGGTTTATACGAAAATACTTAAAGAAATTTAAAAGATCGCGAAATTGTGTGACAAAATTACATTATCGTTGTTTACATAAAATAAACAAAATGACAAGTCCTATTTAATGAAAGAATAAAAAATTTACTGAAATTAAAACTAAAAATCTACTTAATTTATGTAAAAATATAAAGAAATTTTACCTTGTTATTATATTTTCCGAAAACATGTCACACAAAAATTTAGAATATGGGCCGAAAGTAGTACCTAAGTTAACAAAGAAAAATAGTCCTACCTAACAAAAAATGAAAAATACCGCCAAAACAATTAAAATATACAACAAAAAAATATCTACTACATGATTATAAAAATCCAACAAACACAAAAATAAAAATCACAAAATATCACAGTTTATTGTCCGTATATACAGATTCCTCGGCGTCCTAGTTATTGCAATGTTTATATTTACACTTCCTCCAGCTGATTACTATATACAATTAAAAGTCTATATATATATATATATATGTCTGGTCGTTGTTGCGCGAAAGAGCTCTATGAAAAAAATGGGGAGGGGGTGGGGATGGGAGGTATACCTATGTACAGATATATCAACAAATCTCTTCTTCTGCTGTCTTGGCAGCCGCGGAAAGGGTGTTTCCAACTTCTTGGCCTGGTCTATTTTGCCGGTAAGCGCTGCTCTCCCCCTCTGCCAGAAACAGCTCGCCTGGACTTCTTTCTGTCCTTTGTCGGGGAGCCAATATATATGTATAGTGGTGAGTATCTCCGCCTGTCACGCGGGAGACCGGGGTTCAATTCCCCGTCGGGGAGCCAATTTGTAGTGTACTTTGATGATGTTTATATATTTATTCAGGTTTAGTAGAAACCTATAACACAATAAAAAGATTATAATACAAATAACAAAGAGAAATATTATACAATAGAAATTTTTTGAATTGCATATTTCACAATTACAATAATTACAATATATATATATACATACCAGGCTTTAAATAGATGAGATCTAATTTAAGATAATCAAATATAGAAAATACAAATATTTCTATAAAGAAATAAATGAGAGCTTTTAAATGTAAAGAATGTGTTTCCACTTCGAAAGCGAGACAAGGGGTGGTCAGTTACCAAAAAAATATTACATTCCAGAACCAAATTCACTAAAAATAACTTTCATACAAAATCAATCATCCATCACTCAACTTGCAAAAAACAGCCTCCGGAATAAGTTTGCAAATCCGGAATTTTCGCAAACTCAGCTACCTTTTTTAAATTGATTAGAGAAAAAAATTAAGACTGGTCAATAATAGAGATAGAGTCAAGTAAAACCTGGCCTTTGAAATGACGATACCCTTAAAATTAAATGCAGGGGAGACATTCAAAGTTGGCCGTCCCATGGGGTTTTTCGATTCCCCCACTGTGGATTTGGTTCCCAAGTGGGAGTTTCGTGGGGTTTCTTTCCTCTTTACGAGAATGGGAGAAAAAAATCACGGGAGAATTAAAAAAATTTATATACCATTATTTTTTTAAAAAAATCACTAATCTTGACTTTAGATATCCCTTCCTAAAAATATAGATCGAAATATAAATATTTTTAGAATCTCCCATTTTCATTATGGGTGAAACGCGCTCATGGGTGAAATCACCCATCTTAATAATGGGAAGAAAATCCTATTTTGATAAATGGGATAAAATCCACTTTCTTATAATGGGAGATAATTCCCATTCTTAATATATGGGAGAAAATTGATTTAAATTGTAACTATTATTATAATAATTACCGAAAATTAACTATTTCCGCGAAAATAAAGTCGAGGCTACGAAAATAAGATTTAATTTTTTTATAGTGCAAATTTATGTTTTAATGCGTTTTTAATGTGTATTAGTTATTATACTTTCTTTGATCGATTGCATAGCCAATAAAATTTTCATAAATAAAATAATAAAAAGTGAAGTTGTCCCAAAAATACATCATACTTAAATACCTGTTCAATTCAAAAGGAACAAAGACAAACATGAACACATAACACTACACAAGATTTGGTTTGGCCTTTAAAGGAAAATACCGTATTTATTATAAAAAGAGAAATTGGCTTAATTTAACCTTATCTACAAAAGGAAACATAAAAGGACAAAATATAATCAAACCTAGAAGGGTTTTTGTCACAAAAACATTTGTCTCCCAAATCTATGTATGGTCACTAATGTAAAGTTTCATTGAAATCCCACCAGTAACTTGACCTTTGAAAGCCAGACAAGATTTTTCTATTTATAGCTCTGACAGCCATTTTGTGCAGCAAAGCAGAACATGCCGGTGACGTGCACAACTAGGGATGGTAAAGATCACTCCTGTAAAGTTTAGTCGAATTCCCACCAGTAGTGTAACCTGTGAAGCCGGACAAGATTTTTCTATTTTTAGCTCCGACGGCAATTTTGCGCAGCGAAGCGGAACGTGCCGGTGATGTGCACAACTAGGGATGGTACTTTTCATTCCTGTAAAGTTTGGTTGAAATCCAACCAGTAGTTTAACCTGTGAAAGGCGGACAAAATCTTTTTATTTTTAGCTCTAGCGGCCATTTTGTGCAGCGAAACGGAACGTGCCCGTATTGTGCACAACTAGGGATGATACTGATCACTCCTGAAAAGTTTGGTTGAATCGCACCAGTAGTTTGACTTGTGAAGGGCGGACAAGATATTTCTATTTATAGCTCTGGCGGCCATTTTGTGCAGCGAAGCGAAACGTCCCCATAATGTGCACAACTAGGGACGGTACTGATCATTCCTGTAAAGTTAATTTGAAATCCCACAAGTAGTTTGACCTGTGAAGGCCGGACAAGATTTTTCTATTTTTTTTAGATCTGGCGGTCATTTTGTGCAGCGAAGCGGAACGTGCAGGTGATGTGCACAACTTAGTATGATACTGATCACTCCTGTAAAGTTTGGTTGAAATCCCGCAAGTAGTTTGACCTGTGAAGGGCGGACAAGATTTTTCTATTTTTAGCTCTGGCGGCCATTTTGTGCAACGAAATGGAACGTGCAGATTATGTGCACAACAATGAATGATACTGATCACTCCTGTAAAGTTTGGTTGAAATCCCACCAGAAGTTTGACCTTTGAAGGGCAGAAAAGCTTAATGCGGACGGACAACGGACTGAGACATAAATACATAACCATATGGAAACGTTTTCCTTACGTTATTGCGTCTACTGTACTCTTATACAAACAATGAGTGTCTAATGAATACTTCTATAAAATTCAGTAGTATGTGTATAGTTATCGAAGAATGACAACATGTTTAAAGTATTCAAAATCTAATATTAAATAAAACTAAATCTATAAGTATCAAACCCTTTTACCTGATAATCTAATAAAACAAACTTTCGTTTGGCGAAATTATTTTGCCGTATTAATGGCGATTATTTTACATAGGGGAGTAACTATGATGTTTTATCATTATACAATGTTAAGGTCATTTGATTAGTGATAGTGTCATTATACCTTATATTATAAAGAAGTACTTCTTACGTTTACTAGTAGCTTTCTTAATTGGAAACAATTGACACGACATTGAACGACTTAATTGCAACGCAACAACATAACACTATATTGCTCAATCACATTTTCGGTCATGAATGTCTCGTCACTTAAATAAGTGTCCAAATATTTTCTCTGTTAGTGATAAAATTGATATCTGTGGTGCAAAACCACAAAGAACGTTCTAAATAAGATTATAATCAAAATAAAGATCAAGCTTAATTCTCAGTAGTATTTTCTTCCAGATTGGTGTGTTGAAATGCTTCCACGACGAGAAAAGAATGGAATTTCTATTTGACAAAAGATTGGAGTGTATTAATTCTATATTTTGGAAACCTGGACTTCACACACTTGAGTTTTCCAGGTACTGTGTTACTGTATTATTTACTTACAATTAAACATATGTTTTTGATATTTATAATCAACGGCGCCGAACAAATTCTAGTTTATCTTATTTGATTTAGATATATATTGATCAATTTAATAAATGCTCCATGAGCTGTTCAGGTACTTATATTTTTTGAAAACATAACATTTTGCACTAACACAAAAAGAAATATCATCAGTGATAGCTTTATTTAATTATCAAAGCATCTAAACGACGACTTTTTTTAAAAATTTATCCTGATCTCAAAATTTAGATTTTTGACATATAGGCCTAACTTAAGTATATTCACTGTGCTGACAAAAATAGTGGGATTACGACACTATTGACGTATATTGTTCAAACGAACTTAAGTTGTTGAACATTTTTATACATGTATTTTTAAAGTTATAATTATGATAACAGTTTGACATCATTTAAAGAGTTTGTCACAATCTTGCCCGTACAGGGCTTTTGCAGACTGCACTTAAACACATAAATTCATCTATGTTTCTATTAGATTTTCTGATCACAAAAAACAGAACAGAATGATGGAAAAGATACAATCTATACAAATAGATACACGATTAAAAATCCAATTAAGGTTATGAATGAAATAACCTACAGTGATAAGTGAAAAAATATTCTGACTAAAATCAGATAAATCTCAAATATGGTTTGTACCAAAAATACATTTCTTTACAACAAAGCGTCACGCTAGTTGTTTTTACGTTTGCTTTTTGTACGTGTCTCGTCAATATTATACACACTCGTATTTTCATATCAACTAAACACATTAACAAGCATGTCATGATTGTGAGTATTATATATATCAAATGTACCAATTTATTGCAGTCAGTTCCGTGCCCGTTATATTGTCTTGCGCTTTGAAAATCCAAAAGAATGGTTACACAAAAAATCATTCAAGATATACACAAGTGCTATTGAATCTTGTAAGTATTCTAAATTCAAAACAATTTCCTGAAATGAATTGAAGAAAATTAGTTTTAGTATTGTCATTTGTTAAAAAGTATTAAATATGTCACATCAAAACAAAAGTTCGTATTTACCCTGTGTGTATTCTTAGACTTAATAGGGTTCATTCAATCTTTTAGGCGCTGAGAGTACGGGCCCGTGTACTTCCCTTGTTTAATGCCATTTAAATTTCTTTAATGCAAATTATGATAAATAAAAATGATTTTCATAACAGAGAGAAAGCGGCATCCCTCACATTGCTCTGAATATCCTATCTCGTAATTAAAATTGAATAGAATACAGATCTCTTACTTAAACTAATAAGAGTCAAGTTTTTATTCTTTCACGCTTAAAATCACAATCATTTTTCACGTTCAACAATGTTACATCTGGAATCTGACAAGACTACCATTTGTTACAGGACACTGTGTTCTTTGATTGAATACATAACCCGTTCTCCTATCTATGGAAGACCTAGAGGGACATTTATTATTTGAAAATTATTACTTATTACCTATTATTTATAACTTATTACTTATTATTTACAGATAATTACTATATTTAGTTTTGAAACGCGCAATGTTTGGCAGGAAAAACTTTAACTATAAAGCCATATTACTCTCTAAATTTTAAAAGCAAAGGCTGATTTTACAGCCCTAAATTTTCTATTAATTAAAGGCATGAAACCTGTGTCTGATACATTGACATTGTCATAGAAATGGATATAATATCATTTTTTTCTCCATTAATTCTTTGATCAAAGATTTCAAGCGGTTAGCGAAAAAGATGAAGGAGAACATCATTTATAGAAGGTCATATATTACGGAAGCCCTGGAAGGAAAATTATTATCTCTTACTTATTATTTATTAATTAATTTGTTTAACATAATTATAATATATTACTTATTATTTATGACTTATTATTTATGACTTATTATTTATTTCAGTCGAATATATTTTAGTTACATAAAAATTAAGAAGTATTTTGTTTCAACATGTTTGTTTCATACATTATATAATCAGACTACAACATACACAGATTTTAAATGAGATATACGACATAAATACGATATAAATGATGTTCTCCTTCATCTTTTTCGCTAATTGTCATGATGTAAACAGAGTTTTTCCTGCAAAACATGGCGCGTTTCAATACTTCATATATTTATAACCTGTAAATAATAAGTAATAAGTTATAATTAATAGGTAATAAGTAATAATTTTTAAATAAATGGCTTCCGTGCCTCCCTCCTGCAAACAGAATTTTAATATATGATAAACAGTTCTTCCTTTTTTCTTTATTGTTGTTTTTTAAATGATGGCATATTTACATACGTAGGTCATAACGTTAATGTCGACCGGTTTAAGATATATACTAATCGATTCTCGGTTATTTTTATTGTTTATCGTCTTTTATACATGCATTGTATCAAATTTTAATAAATACTTGGCGGACAATGCGTCTGTCATTAATAAGCACAAAACATTATCATTTATGTAAATTGGTTTAATATTTAATCATATAGACGCAATATTAATATTCATATTAACAGTGGATGGAGAAATGTGTAATGAAGATCTTGGAATGAGAGATGGAAGTATTCAAAATGATCAAATGTTTGCTTCACCATTCTCAAAACGCAACAAACCGTTCAAAGCAAGGCCTTCCTCTACTGGTTGGTGCATTGACAAAACGATGGATGCAAATCCTTGGATAATGGTTTAAAAATTATATTCAATTAATCAAGATTAATACATTTTTAAAATAGTTTCCTTCATTACATCCAAGCTTGATATTTTACAAGGCAGAAACAAAAATGCGTAGGTTTATAAATTAAATTGCGTATCGTAGCATCATAAACATATTAACGTATCTTTTTGTTTTGCAATGTAATCATGTCGCCAGCATTCCTAAGATCAGCAAGCTACAAGTGGGATTATTTATCCACAAGTTAAGCAGTAAATGAAAGTCAGGTATTTACCATTATTAAATTACTTTTTTTCTAACATAAAGTCGATGATTTATTTTAAAAACATTTAATGGTAAAACTTTACAATAATGTTTTTAACATATGGTTTGAACATTATAATATATATAATTATATATATTGGTTACTTTAGGTTGATATGAAATCAAAAACAAAAATTGAAGGGTTGACTTTGTTCCTCATGAAAGAAGATGTACATAGAACTCTTTCTAATTTGGAGTCAATTCATCTCTTATATGGAAATCAGTCGGATAATTTAAGCGTGTCTGACTTAAAGGTATTGTTGTTTGGCAAAATGTTCGGAAATAGTTGATGCAAAATGTATCATTTTAGGCAAGCAGACTATAAGAAAGAATGGTACAAAACATTTTAACGTTTGTAACTAAAAGCAACAAATATAATAAAGACTGCAACTTATCAAATATTTCCATTGTTAGTCATTATGGTCTAGACATTCTTGGTTTGACAAATAAACTTTAATTGCTAAACCTTGTTGTCAATTGTTTCACGTATTTATACATGTACGTAAGTATGTCGAACCATTCTATAATTGTTGTAAATAACAATAATTATAATTATCTTAGATTATTTCTTCAATCATAGTTTTTGCATTATCATTATTGTTATAGTGTTAAGTAATAAGCCTTCAATATAGATTTTATCTTTGATGTCAGTGATGGTTTGCCTTAGTATATTAATTGAAAAGTTCATACCTTTTACAGTTTACAACTGATGTCGACAAATTTACGTCTGAACTTCACCAATCATTTTTTCTTCAAAATGCAGTTACAGCTCGTTTTATAAAGCTACGATTAAATGGAAGTCTTGGGTTAGATCAATCATGTCTACGATTTGAAATCCATGGATGTAAACTATCAGGTAAATATATTATTGTTATTATTATTATTATTTGCTATGATTAATATGATTATTTTTATTAAAATGGCTTAGTATTTAATCTATTATTATTATTATATTATTATTATTATCATTATTATTATTATTATTATTATTATCATTATTATTATGATTATTATTATTATTATCATTATTATTATTATTATTTGATTATTATTATTATTATTATTATTATTGATTTGATTATTATTATTATTATTATATATTATTATTATTATCATTATTATCATTTGATTATTATTATTTTTATTATTATTATTATTATTATTATTTTATTATTATTATTATTTGATTATTATTATTATTATTATTATTATAATTATTATTGTTATTTGATTATTATTATTATTATTATTATTATTATTATTATTATTATCATTATTATTATTATTATTATATATATATTATTATTATTATTATTATTATTATTATTTGATTATTATATTATTATTATTATTATTATTATTTGATGATTATATTATTATTATTATTATTATTATTATATATATTATTATTATTATTATTATTATTATCATTATTATTATTATTATTATAATTATTATTATTATTATTATTATTTGATAATTATTATTATTATTATTATTATTATTTGATTGTTATTATCATTTTTATTTTTTTATTAGTATTGTGTTCTCATTGAAATACAATGAAATAAGTTTCACATTGCTTGCTTTGTGTATAATATTATAACTAACAGTGAGATAAGGGGAACAACAGTATACAGTGAAACAAGTTTGACGGAAAACGTCATCATCATGTTTTGCGTAGTTTTAATTGTTAACAACGTCATTTCCTGTATATATAACATAGTGTAAGATAACAAAATAAATATGTTATTTATAAAAATAAACAGAAACTCCTTGAAAAAAAGGTGTTTTACCACTCGAAACGTTGGATATTGAAAAGTTTGTGTAGGAGATAATTAAATATTTATTTATTCATTTTAAAATTTTTGTAATTGCTTCTGCAACAGTGGCTTATGATATTATGCTATAATTGGCAAGCATTATTGAAAATGTATGAACCGTAGGGTTTTGTACACAATCGTCACAGTTCATTATATTTTTACAGGAATATCATTGTCTCAAGAATGTGCCCTCAAGGACAATATTATACGCATTGAAGGGATAGCTGGTGTTCAAGATTCACAAGAAGATAATAATTACCACAGTTATACGGATTCAAACATTAATATTGAAGGTGACTACACAGATGATGATGATGATGATGATGATGATGATGATGATGATCACAATTATGCTTCATCAGGTCATGCTGAGAGTTCCAAAAGTGATAGTTTGTTTATAGATTATGAGTTCGAGTCAAATAATAGAGAGTACGATGCTAAATCAGAAATTATGGATACAGAAATAAAAGCAGCACAAAGTAACACAGATTTTAAAACTGACACGTGTATTTGGGGTAAGATACAGATGTCACCTTTTCTGAATTGACAAATTTCTAAATTGAAAAAGGCTAGAAGGTAGATATTTGGCATGGAAAATTGTGTAGTGGACCTCTACCAAGATTGTAAATCCGCTTCCGCGTAGCGGAAAGGGGATTAAAGGAATGACCTCCGTCAGTCAGTCCGTCCATCTGTTCTTCTGTCCGTCCGTCCGTAACACTTTTGTGCCCGCTCGATCACGTTTAAACCGCTGTTTCTTTTAAATAACGTGTCACAAGTGATCACCATAGCGATAGTTGCGTTGCTATCCCCAATGTCAAGGTCGCACTTAAAGGTGAAGTGTTAAAAGATATACAATTCGTGTCCACTACATAACGTTATAACCGCTGAAAATTGTTTTTTAATAAATTGGCACAAGTGATCACCATTATGAGACGATGTACACATCGCAATAATTGAAGTGCTACACAAATGGTCAAACTTACATGTCAAATGTTAGAGAGTCTACATTTAGTGTCTGTCCATAAGGTTTGAACCGCTTCAATGTTTTTAAGATAACTTGGCAGAAATGATCACCATTATTACACCATTGACAGAGCACAATAATCAAGTCACAATCCTGAAGGTCAGGGTCACACTCTAAAGTCCAATGTAAAAACATCTATTTTTCATGCCCGCTCCAAAATTTATTGACAATAATTCAAAGGTTTATGAATCACTTGGAACAAATGATCACCACCATGACATAATCTGCAGAGTTAAACATCCAGGTTGCTATCCCCAAGATCAAGGTTATAGGTTCTCCATGATTTTTTTTACTTTATGGAAGATTTTAAATAATATGACACAAATAATCAAAATAATAAATCTATGCTCTTATGATATACATAGCATAAAATCAAGGTCATGGCTGGTAAAAGGTCAAGAAGTACACATTCATGTTTACCGCCGCGGAAGGGGATTTAGCTGTCGATTTAGCTGTCCTTCAGACTGCCTTGTTCAAATTATAGCCCTAGCCACGCCCCTGGGTCATTGATTTCATTACATATAGTAAAAACTTTAAAAACACTTTTTGTGTGAAAGGAAATATTGGATTGTCTAAAACATATTATGCAATTTATATGTTAAATGTTCCATAGCTGGGAGTAAGTCTAAAGGTCATGATATTCAGAGATATTTATGAAACGATTCAGGTCATGAACTCTTGCAAGACAGTTGTGAGCTTTGTAGATATATTAAATGAAACAATTTGAGCACATTTTAAGGACATTTTGATTCACTCTATGTTTATATTAATGACTATGTTTTTAGAAATGTGTAATGCTTATTGAAAAGATGGCATTTAAGAAAATGATATTTAACCGGCATTTCAAATTTTAATACAGCTATATTATACAGTTAATACGTATTGTTTGTCAATAAAAAAATCTTTTAATGTTTAATCAATTATTCCACTATGGCTTTTGTATCTTAACATTAGACATGTCTACACATGTGTCTTATGATTTTAAATGCTGAAATATGACCTGGACCCCCAAATTCACTGGACACTACTGCATTATGGCAAAGTTCGATTGTATAGTAAAAAAAAATCTACTTCTGTTATATAAATGCGTTGGCATATATCATTTTTCACAAATGCATTTTTGTTTATTTTTGATTTACATTACTTTTCCCCCATTAAATAGTTTTGTAGTTTACCTAACGTTAATATTTTCTATGCATTGACTTTTGTGACACTATTCCGTTAATGATTTTCCAAACTGATTAGGAAAGGGACATGGTCACTTCGGTGATGGTCTTGTGACTGAAAAAAGTATGAAATGTATCCTACTAAAATATGGAAACAAAGATCAACAGGGATTTTGATTTTGAAGACAATACATAAAATATGCAATTATACATTCCTTTTGTTCAGATTCAACAGAACTCTTTCCTAGTTTTAAAAGTGGTAGGATGATTACAACGAACGCACTGTTTGTCGAAAAGCCTTCAGTGATAATGTCTATTGGCTATCCTTTTCTGACAGGAAGTGGATACAGTTATACATGGATAATAGATTTTAAACATGATAACTATGTGAGACTTATCTTCACAAATGTCACGTTAAACCAAATAGTAAGAATTTTAAAGTATAACTGATAATTCATTCGATTCAAGAATATTTAAATATTTACTTTTCTTATTCATCACTTCTTATACAAACCCAGAAATTATTTAAGATTTTTTGCACTTTGACCTTTTTTAATTTGATACCACTGAAATAGAACGATTTTATAGGCAAGGTGAGGGTTCGCATGTAAATGTTCGTTTGTTTGAGTGCGCATTGGCAAAAAGGCATTGAGTTTATGCTATATTATAAAAAAGGCCTGTTAAAAATGTTTTACATTCACCGCAGAAACACAATGATAAATGTATACAGATAATGTTGGAATAAATATTATTTGTAATTTGAATTTTTTCACTTTTTAGCAACTTAGGTATATTTATAATTAATTGCATCGTGTATTTCTTTAAATAACTTGTTAATGCGATTGTAAGAATTGGTCTCGATATTAGTACTCCAAAAGTATACACAAATATCAAATTATTCTCATTTTAGACGCAAGATAATGATAATGATTGTGAAGATACGCTTGTAATAGGGACAGACTTACAAGAGCGATTGAAGGGCGGTCAGATAAATACAAATTTTAACAAAAGAATATTTATTATTGAAACTAATAGGACTCTTGTTCTAGTCACCTTTCAGTCGTGCTTTAATACATTTAGGGGAAGTTCATTTCGTGCAGTTGTTAATGAAGAAGGTAGGTATTCTTTCACAGGAAACGTTTCTATATATCGACTATTTTAATTATCAAAGCTTCTAGAGAAGCATTTTATATTCTGTTACAGTTTGTGTTGGTTTTTGTTTGTTGTGATATGGTTTAAAGCTTAAGTGCGTCGTTTATATATTTAATATAACAACCTTGGCAAAAATAAAAAAGTTGAATCATAAAGAATTATTCTATAAATCATTTGATTTTGCTTATTTAAGTTCACTGGAGCTTTCAGTCATTCGGCCTTCTTCGGCGGCATTAATTATATACATTTTGATAATTGTATAATTATACAATTGTTAAAATGTATTTTTTGTATTACTTTTGAATAAATTGACAACATGGTTGTCTTACAGACACAATATATTTTAGTTGGTAGATACAGTCAAATAAATACTCAGTTGTTTTGTAAAATAAGTTCTGCTATATAATCCTTACGTTTAATTAAATATAATAAGCTGTTTTAATGTTTGAAAAAGGTATTTGAAGGATAGTTAAATTCAAAAACTGTTTCATAAATTTATCTTTTTATTTGTTGCAAATTTTGAAGCATATTTATATCTAAACGCACTTGAATAGCTCGAATTACTCTCTTCCTAGATATTCCAGCGTGTTTGTCCATCGCGTCAAGTGTAGATTGGAGCCAGGGCAGGAATGAAGCGTGCACAAATCCAGAAATGATACTTACGTCAATGTCGATTTTGAATATTCCATTTGAAAATTTTGAAGAAAGATTCAGAATTCAAGCTCGCAGTCATCACAGAATCCAGATTGAATTCATAGACTTTTATATTGTCTGTCCAATAAGTAAGTGATGTTTTAATCATTTATGAGGTTTCCATTATTGTTTCGTATCATTTTAGTAGAATATGCATTGAAAATATTTTTTATACTTATAGATGCTAAGAAGCATTGAGAATTCAGGATAAACTGGTAACGCTTTAATATATATTTTTCGTTAAAAAGAATATAAGAATTTGAACATGTGGTTTTGATGAAATAGATGGTGTTTAACGCTACTATCTCACAAATAGAGGATATTGAATGAGTGTAGTTTAATACTAAATTATTAAACGAACTGAATAAAATCATATTATGCGAGCCTCTGGCGAGCATAATATTGTTTTATTCAACGAGTTTAATAAATTTAGTATTGAATCTACACGAATATAATATTCTATTTATCATATATATAAAATAACAACAGTAAACTGTTAAAATGAGTAATTTTTCAATGACGCGCCTATAGTGTAAGGCTAACATAAGCGCGCTTTAACGCTATGTTTATATATAGAGCAAATAACGTCACGTCAAAGTGTTATTACACTAGCGTGATATCGTTTTTATTAAATGGCTTTATTACACTCCTGCGCCGCGTATAATGTGATAAATTGTATTTAGTCGGTTTTTTTAAAATAAAATTTCATCAAATGATAAAATTTTAACATAAGCTCGTACATTTAAATGAAACTAGACGATTAATACATGTCTTGTACGACAGAATCATCTTAGTAAAGTATTTGTCATGCTTATCTTGGTGTAATTTTAAACCTTTGCAACGTTTTATTTTGTAAATATTGACTTTTATTATAAAAACTACTGTTAATTGAATGCAAGTAGATCTGTTGGTTTCGGGTAGAACAAATGTGTACTTTTAATTTTTTTTTGCTGCGCAATATATAAATAGGAAATTATGTCATATCTTGGTAATCCGGTTTTAAACTGGTATTGATATAGTAAGTTCAACCTGCATCAAAGCTGACCTTTTCTCTACATGTTATAATTCAGTTTTGATAAATAAAAGTTTCTTCATATTTATTTGTAGAACGGAACAGTCAATTTTAATACTACATAGGTAAATAAAATGTTTCTCCTCCTTTAACTGATAATTTGTTAATGTCACAATAGCTCAATCGGTAGAGCAGACCTAATTTATAGCAGCAGGTTAACTGGCTTTTAAAAAAATCACCTTCAAGTTAACATCTACATAATGATAATGCGTTTTATATTTGATTTATTTTATCTATGTTCCTTTTAAACCGAAAATATTCTCTCATTCATTCCACTGTCACGTTTTTCTTCTCCTGTTATTGTTATAAACGTATGAATAGTTTAAATAAATTTTAAAAGAGACAAAAATTGTGTGCGTTTGCGTTTGTTTACCCTCGCCACCGAAAAGAAACCATATGGGCGAGCAGAAACAAAGAAGAGACAAAAATCAATATCTTTTAGTTTATATGCGTAACCATATATTGTTTTGTCAAACGGTAAGTAATGTAATAAAGAAATTAAACTTGAATAAAAATGGAACAGTTTCCACAAGGTTTCGAACCTACTGGCTGAATTCACTTTCATATCAATAAGCGGTCTTACTTGTTGTGCTATAGAGTCAAACGAAGATAAAATCTCATAAAATATAAACTTTCATGGTCATAATTTTGTTAATTACTTCCAGTTTACCTGGGTTAATATTTAAATAATATCATGAAAAGCGCATAAATATGTGTGTGGCGGGAATTAAATGGCGGACAAATTATCGGGAGCAAAGTAATACGAGGGTTGTCCAAAAAATTCGTGCACTGTAGTTATGGTCATAAGAGTAATTGATAAAAAGACATGGATTATATATCACTTGAAAGGGAAATTGATATCAAATAAGAAAACAAAAGAAAAAGCGGTGTACCCGGCATGTCGAGAAAACGAATCATCATACAGTTACCTTGCTAAGGTAATACCGGCGCACGACAAAATATTGGGTTAGATTATTACTTTGATGCATCACAGTATCTTTATAACACTATATATAAACGTTACAATTCAAGGAAAAGTGTGTGTACGTATTCCTGACGTCACTAGAAAATATGACGTCATTTGCTCTTTTGTAACGGTCGTTTACAAACATTTCTGTAAGGTTGTCAATACTGTCATTACGTGAAAATACGAACGATCATTAAATTTTGCGCAATTATTGGTAAAACTACAAGAAATACCTACAAAGAACTTAAAAGGGTAAGCGGGACCAGTTCAGTGTCATGAAAGGCTGGTTTTTAAATGGCATAAACGCTTTGTGTGCGTCGGTAGACGATTACAACCGATCAGGCAGGCACATGTGACCAGGGTTTTCCAATATATGCGTGCACTAGTGGAATATGTTATATGTACGTTGCATAAGAACAATGAAAACTACAAAATACTTAACATCAATCATTCCTCTAGTGACAGTAAAACAAATTATGACATAAAAGCAAATGCCACTTTACAGGAATAACTTTCAAAATTAAATGCCGTAATACGTAAATTTTGCTTCTTTAGGAAAATAAAATTGATATCATCATACATCATGTTAAAAATGGAACAACAATATTTCAAAATTAATGATGTTACGTCATGATGTGATGACGTCATAAAGGCGAATGCGCTACGTTACGGGGCAAAATCAGTACAAAAATACGTAGTATTTACAAAGTCACTTATAAAACAGGAAATAAAAAGAAAGATTTATTTGTTTTTATATATAAGATTGAAATATATTTCATTCGTGAACAACTATTATATTTTTACTCGTGGCTACGTCATTCGGGAAAATATTGCATCTGGTGTTTACTCAGTGAAATATATTTCAATCTTATATGCAAAACAAACAAATATCCTCTATATATGTTAGCGAAATCTCTGGAATAATACATATCAGTTTCATTTAAGTATTTGTTTTGAAAAATATGGTATTTATTTGTCAGTTTTTTCTTGGACATCGTTGAAAGTCTATTATATATATACTTGTATTATAACAGTTCATAAACGTGTTTAATAAGAGCAAGTATTACCTAATGCCTTTTATAAATACTAATTTTCATATTTACAACAGTTTAATGTAAGCGCTCAAATCCGGTGCATGCACAATGATGAAGTGAACTGTTGATCGGTCAACATTTTTTACTGTTAAACCCCTGTGGACGGCCTCTTGCAGTAGTTCCCATTGCCATCCCTGATACCTCGGGGTAACAGTTTTGACTGTTCGGCAAACACCACTGAAATAAATGTTTAATAGTTTTTGGCTGGTATCAACGTTATTTTAGTGCAAGAAAAAAATCCCTTATTCCTAAACACAGTAAACTTATATCTTTGGTGAATATTTTCAGTTACCTATTTTAGTCTGAAATAACAAAAAATGCCCTTTTTGTCTGTCACTCGTTCTAAATTGTTTAACAGTGTTGTATTTTGAAATCATAGGAACATCGGAAATTCGCTCAAAATTCGCAATAATTGAAGGAAATGTTAAGAAAGAATACTGCAACGCAAATAAACCTCCGAAGATCGTCTACTCGGAGGAAAATTATATTCATATTGTGTTTCGGAGATATGATGAATCCAGAAAGAAGTTTTTAGGACGGGAAGGTTTTAGGCTGCAATACAGGACAAAAAGTTTTACGTTAGAAAAATGGACGGATACAGTAACTTTCCTGTATGCAAGTGAGTTATTCTTTTAAATACATTTATGTAAAGTCAAAATATAAAAATATTTCTCATGTCAAAATATATCAATCGTTTTATAATGTTTTCCAAAGTATAATTATGAATATCGGGATACAGTTATACAGGCGTGTGAGACTTAGTTTTGATATTTTATACATTTAATTGTTTAGTTCAATTTAAACAGTTCTATCAAAATGCATACAGATTTTAAGCATCAAAGAAACGACTGATCTAGATTTTTATGAGTTTTATGCATTTTACATTTCATACATTTCAAATTTACAGTAAACATGGTCTATCTTTTTTAAATACAAATGTTGATTAGACATGAAGTTTTGTATGCTCTGTGTGTCTTCTTCCTTTCTAATTTAATAGTTGAAGCTATGATTCAGTTCGCTTCATATTTCAACTGAATTACCTTGTCAAATTTCATTCATTTTTCCAACATTTTTGCTCATAAGAGTGCTTTAAGCGACAAGCCCCTCATTATATAAATACTGTTAAATATATAATCAAATAAAAGTAGACACTTACTTTACAACTCGTCGTTGCGTTGTCCGATGGTAAATAGAATTCAGAAGGAAAATCGAAGCGAGATTTCAACATCAACAATTTAAGTACACGGGAGAACACATTTTGTTAGTAATTTTAACTTAAAGGTTTGTTAAAAGATGATAGAAAAACGTCGTTATTTCATTAACAATAAGTGATTTAACTATGGTGTTGAAAATTCATATCTCTTACTTTACAATAGTGAAATAGTGAAATTTTGAATTAGTATCAAATTCAATCAACTGCATATGGTCAATTAAGATAATCAAAGACATTTAACTGATTTTAAATAAGTTAATTGTCCCTTTTTGGTACGAAAGTATTGAGTACAAAAAAGTACGAAGAGATTGAATTACTCTCAATAACATCATGGTTTTAAAACTTTAATATGTTGCTGCATTTTACATTTATATATGATAAAAATAAAGATAAATATACATATAAGTTATAAGACAGATAAAAGTCAAACGTTTAAAAATGCTTTTGGTGTTCATTGACCGACATGATATAAGAACCGAGACGGCCGAATAATAATGATTAAATTTGCCTGTTCAGCACATCCTTTTCGTACAAGAATTGATGTCTATTAAAAAATCGATTTTGAATGATAGACACTTAAAATGTCACTTAGCAAAAATAATGATTGGAGAGCTGCACATCGCCGGTGATTACAGACAATTTACCCCAAGACACTTCACACACCAGATACCGCCAAAAGTTTCCACCCTAAGGCATTATATTAACTAAACAAAATAAGGGAGGGATGTGAAGTGTAGATATTAATTGAGCCTGTTCATGGACGGTACTGTCAAGTGCAAACCACTGTCCATACAGCAGAATTCAACATTTAAACATGGTGAAAAATTTTGAATTAAGAAAGAAACGCAGATATGTTCATACGACGGTTATCATGGAACCTTCAATTCGAGTAACAGAAAGCGTAAAATTTGCTCAGAAACATCTCTATTGTGTGTAGTTACTAAAGCAGTCTGTCGCAAATTCTGAGAAATGATGACGGATGAGGTAGAAACATTCAGGTTTTAGAAAATTTAACCAAAATTTATAAAACATTTAAACATATACCATAAAAAGGAATTGTAACAAAATAATGTGATGCCTCTTTTTTATCTTCCAGAAATGTGTTGAAAATGAATATGCATTATATTGTGTGTTTTATCGAATTTTATAAAGAAAGTGATTTTGAAAATGATGCGATCTTTTACTATTGTCCAACAATATTGACCTGGCACCTCATTAACTTTCGTAAAGGTCATTTGAATAAAAACTGACCAGTATCTATCGAATATATCGACATATTTGCTAATTTCACTCGTCAGGGAGGCGTGGTGTATTGGTATAGATGTCGGACTAATGATCTGTAGGTCACTGGTTCGATTCCGTACCAACGCCATGTTATGAATTTCTTTTTTTAATTTACTTGCAAGAATTAATTTGAAATCGGTTTACTACAACTGGTTTTAGAATACATTTAAGTGGTGTTCTTTATACACAGTCATAAATTTTTTATTGTATTATAGTATCTTTTAACGTTTCTCTTTTTGACATTATGCAATCGTATATACTTTAGCGCACACACGCTTTAAAGATACAACACAGATATTACACACAACAAAATCGTTTGCAATAGTTTTAAGAGAATGGCAATTTTAAAATTAAAACACAAAAAAAATCGCTGAAATAGGATTCGAACCTACCAGTTAACGTCTACATTCCTTAAGAGAAATACCTTTACCAACTGCGCTAAGAGGGATTTTTTTTACAATATTGTAACAATTTGATATTTATATTTATATCGATTTACAAGTAGATCGTGACAGTTACGGAATATACCGACTACAGGGTCAAATGCAAGAGTGCCAGGTCAATGTTGTTGGATAATATAAAGATATTTTGTTACTGTTGTTGTTTTTATTTAAATTACTATTTTTCTTTCCTTCTTATTTAGCGCATGATCAGTACAACACTTTAGGGCACTTTATCACATTTGCAAATATCATGACCACAGTCATAGAGTAAACTTTATTTACATTATTGTTCTGTTTGTGATATATTTTAAGTTCAAACTATTTGGCTTTTTTTCGATTTGAATGGTTCAAATATTCCTAATTGAATAATGTTAAAACATCCTCAGGTTATGTTGCCTGCTTTTTTAATTTGTCTTTTGACGCCTTATTTGTAATATGCAGGCTTCATAACCTCAGATCTCCTTTCAAATGCAATTTTATTTAGTTTCGCCCATTGTTTTCTTGGGCACTCGCATTCTTTTACTTTGGGACCAATCATACGCCGCTTTTCATGGAACGGCATTACTGGGTCACATTGGTTACCGCCGTATGAACACATCTGCGGATGTTTCTAAGTTCAAACTTTTGCCATTTCATGTTCTGCTTTAGCCGATGCTAGGGGTGTGGACGGTAGTTTGCACTTTACAGTTCCGTCCATGAACAGGCTCAATCAAACCGAGCCTGCAACATTTTCAGTTTTACCGTTTTGGACATTCTTTAGGAATTTTTATTTTCTCTATGATATTGGATTGCCATGATGCTACATTGTTGATGTTGTTTTCTTACAGGTGAACGTGACTTTTTAAAACATATGTTTCGTTTCCTTTTGCTACAATACAAATAATGGTGTATAGAGTATAAAACCCGAAATAAACAAATGGAAATACTACTTTTAAAAAGAACGACGATTTCTGTAAAAATCCATAAAGTTTGTTTTTTAGATTATTATGTGATCAAATGCTGATTAAAATGGTGCTTCTTTTTAGATGTCATTTCTCTGCAAAAATCGATGAGGGCTACACAAGGTAAACAATTGTCATTATTCATAAATCTGAATACGAACACTCATATGAAGGTATTTATCGTCGCTTGATAAACGTCATCAGGGTTTTTACTTAATTGTCTTTTATAATTACATTGTTCATGATCACATTAATACTTAGATTTTGTTTGGTCTGTATAGCATTCAATGCCCATCATGCCTCATATATTTTGTTATTTTCTTTTCTTAAAGAATTTTTAATTTCATTGGTGTCCTGTTTTAGGTTTAAATAAACAACTTATTTTCTAACTACCTGATTTATCTTTTGCTTCTGTTGCTTTATCGCAATAAGACCAATATAGTAATTTAGTATTGTGTACGGATGCTTAAATTCTACTTTGATTTCTTTTTTGTCTATTCGAATGACAAAAATATTTCACATTCAGTGCTAATGTCCTCACATGATAAGCATCTAACATTTTTAATGTAATAAGACTCGGAAATAAGAATTAAAGAAAGCAAAATGTATTCGTTTCGGAGGCATACTGTGCCGGTTATTTATAAAGAAATACGTATATTTTCTGGCTCTCTAAACTTACTAATATAAGCTCAACTCCTGTGTTTTAGAACCGATATAAGATATTATCCTTGCATTATCTATAGACCAATTTTATTATGTGAAAATAAATATAAATGAAAATATGATTATCATAAACGTATACAGAGTGTGTTTATTGATTACTAAGAATTCTCTAAATGATATATTTTGTTGACATGTTTGACTTAAAACAAATTTGACTTAGACATAAAGGGAAAGACAAGGTTAGAATAAAAACTTGATTTCAGAAAAAGAATACTATAAATAATAAATCTGCAAATTTTCTGCCGCCAAATAATAATATTAAACGAATGATAACAAAATTTAAATCGCTAAATCACCGATTTATACAAATCAGTAAGCGCGGCAATGTTTGTGTATTGGCCGTATAAAAACAGGTGCGCGTGATGTCATTTCCCCACATCTTTAGATTTATGATAAATCTAGTTGAATCGTAGGGAAATATTAATATAGTTAAGTATTGACCAGGCAATTTAATTTTCACAGAAGGTAGAGAGGAGATTTTTTTATGGTTCAAAATACGTAACAATATCCAAAAAAAGAAATGAATAAATATAGAAACAAAAAAAATCAACGTCTACCGGTCGCACCACTTCAGGCCAGTGATGCCCGTTACTCCAAACAATGCTATGTTCATTAAAGTCTCATCTTAATGTAATTAAACAATATTTAACAGATTTAATAAACACACATGTTATTATTTAACAAAGTTTCACAATCAAATAATGCAATTAAATAAACAAACGCACCAACGAATAATTGGCTGTGAATTATTGAACGTGTTCTTAATAGTACATGTAATTAAATTTTTGCAGTTTGATTCTGACTTTCAAATTTAAAGGTGTGAACATATGTTATAATTGATGTACACATTTCAAAAATTTAAGCAACTCTTTTGAAAAGTAAATTGTTAACATGTCTGTCAACGTATGATGCTGCCGTCGTAATCGTAGCGTAATATGAACTGCAGGCAAAACATTTTTATTGGCTGCTTAAAAATCTAATTTGCATAATTTATTCACACAATTGCTGGTTCTTACTACTTATGTCTAATACTGTGCATTGTCCATTTTAATTGATCCTTATTTGCACACACTGTGTACTAACGATTTTTATTGCTCCTTGTATGCCTCTGTGCCGACAGACCTTTTGATCATGCACAATGTTGCCCTGATCTTGTCAAATATTCTAATGACGAAATAGACATCTATTTTTTTACGCTTCATCGGTGAACTGAATGACCTTAGGGGAAATTAAGTTCCACACCGTCGAATTATGCTGTAAATGACAGCATGTCATAAAATAGCAACACATTTTTTTTTTCAGTTACCAATAATCATTTTAAATATCAAGTAGATTTATGATTTTTTGTTTTATTGGATTAAATTTACGGTAGTAGAAATGCGTATCTGTGTGGGAAAGGAATTGGGTAAGTAGATAACGTCGTGGAAAAATGCTATAGGGAACTGGATAAACCCGAGAATCTTTTGCTGTTGGTACCAGTTTTGACTGGGTGCCTAAATAACCTAACGGGCAGTTTTGTTTTCATACGATATTAGTCTGGCTGCCGATTTTCCTGCGCCATTCTCACCATTCTCATTTTTAGCGTCAATGGCGGAAGATCGCGTCCTCAGTAGATCTCTGCATATTGGATTTAGTTGATATTTTACGCTGAAAAAAAGATACATGACCGGCGATGTACCTTATTCGGACAGCTTGTCTAGCGAAAATTAAGTACAAAATAAAAGGATATATCGTCAATTTGAAGAAGTTGCTCATAGTACCCAAATTAAATTAATGGTTTATCTTTGAAAATTAAGCAGTCATTGCTTAAATCATGTGGTGGGATCATCAGCAAGCTTGAAAATCGGACAAATGATAATTAATGTCGCGGCGTCTTCAATTAATTAATTAAAGCAATTCAGTTCCATATGATGTTTTCATAAATAATATATAATGTACGCAATAAGATTAATAAGTTCTTCATCAAGATATATTTCAGTTGTACCAGCGTGTACACCTAACCGGAAGTGGGTGTAACACGTCACAATCTCGGTCTCGTCTGTCTCGCGAGAATGACAGAACGCCAAAATGGCGGCGCCCATGAACTTATTTCTCAATTAAAAAATAGTGTCTAAAAACACGAATTTCTCACTTATAGGGTTGATGTCAACAGAAAAACTGTCATGTTACCTCTTTTTAAATGATGAATATTTATATTAGACAGACATCAATCCATCCATTCCTATTCCTTTAGACATTAAGGCAATACCTCTTCTTTGCTTTAAAGTTAAACACGTTTATGCCTTGATGATAAAGCTATTGGGGAAAATATTAGTGTCTTTATACGTGTGATATTTACTGTCATCAAATAATCGCATGGTACAATAATAAATTTTAAATTATCAACTGATTTTGATAACGTCAATAACGATTAATTTTCCTTCATACTTTTTAAGAAAAGAAAAAATTGATCCTAGCGCAAAAAAGTAAACTGGATAAAAAAACCTATGAAGTTTCAAAATTTACAGTTCGTTCGAAGAAATTCAGAAAGTGCTACACTGTATTTAAATCATCAATATCTTGGTATGACGCAAGATCTGCCTGCTGGTCACGGAATGAGCATCTTATCACAATACAATCACAAAAAGAATTGAAATATATAAATTACCTTCTTCGAGAACAAAGATACGACGATCAAAGAAATGACATATATGATTCAAAACATTTAAGTTTCAAGGCACACATAGGTGAGTGTTAAAGCTATTACTATTAGTTTCAGTTTTGAAGTAATTCAAAAGCATGTTAAACGTTAAAAGTTATAATTTTCACAAGATCGGTTTTCAAGCTGAACAAAGATGTTTTTCTTTCTTATAATGAAAACATTTATTTTTCAGTTTTTCATAATAATTTAAATTATCAAAATAGTTTAAACCACAAAGCACTTATGCGAATCAATTTTCATATCACACGCATGAGGGACATAATGTTGATTTTTTAAGATAGAAAAGGCTTTTGGACAGGCTCAATCAAGCTGAGCCTGCAACATTTTCTATTTTGTTGTTCGTTCTGAATGTTCTTTAGGGATTCGGTATGGTATATCCCTATTTTATTGGGTACAAATATATGTGATTCCAAAATTAAACTAAAAGAATAAACAAATGATTCTGTTTCTAGAAATGTGTTTTAAATTGGGAATAATTAGTGAATTTATTTATTTATTACCCATTTCAAACCTTATAATATTTCGGTCAAACCTTTGTGGCTGAAGGGTTGAAAACTTTAATGGTTGAGTCGTTAGAATTGCAGTCACCACCTTTTATCCCTGTGTAATCCGCAGAGTCGACTTAATGAATTCGAATAATTGGAGTCTACGCATGTCTTACCACATAAGGTGAGGTGGTTTGGACCTCTAGTGTTGTGTTAAAAGTTCTTACACACAAAGTAAGCTAACGTCATCTTTAATATATCGGCAATCTTGCTGTGTTTGTGCGCAATAAAATCAGACAAACTAACAAACATTGCTCAGACCTCTAATTGTGTCGAAAGAAACCTTGATTTGTAAGGGCACTAGCAAATATTTATATATTTGGAATCGGTTTCGTCAGTTTTAAAAATAACTTCTGAAACATGATGTATGTGTAAAATGTGTGTTGTAAATCTGTTCCATTTGAACACTAGGCAACAAGCAGCAACACTGATTCAGTTTGCTTTGTTTTGCTTTACTTTTTACACAAGTTATTTTTGTCAATTATTGTCACAAATGTTGTGTTTTCACAACAAAGTGGCGCTGTTAAAATAAGATATCCTTTCAATTGTACGTAAATGTTTCTATGTGGCCATATCATAGACTACGACGAGGGTTAAAAAATTTCTCATAAGTACTCTTTGTAAAGCTTTGGATAGACCTGCAATCATTGTTTTGGTATGTCCTATACCCGAGAAAGCACGAAATAAGTCACGGAAATTCTACTTGTAGGTAAGTCACAGATATTAAACGAAATTTCAATTTTCTAGATTTAACATAATGTTTTGCATTGCTCATTCAATAAATGCAAACTAAAATTTGTAGCAAACACTCAGATTTAATAAATGCTCTTTTTTTGTATAATATTCAGTTATTTTAGTTTTTTGTCATTAGTTTTTTGTCATTTCTTATTGGATGACCAAGACCTACGCACTATTAATGACCATTTCAACAGAACCTCCTGTCAGCAAGCTGGATATTTTCTCTGCATTATAGGATAAAATACCTACAAAGGTTCGGTTATGATCCTACGGTTTTTGAAAGTAGCAAAATTTAAAATCTGTAATCTTGTGCTACTACTATGAAGCCCTTAAAGATTCATGCAAAGTTTTACTTGATAAGCTACTTATTACGTTGATATGTATAATCGTAAATTTTCTTTCAGATAGAGATTAGGTGGGACGTCACCGGGTGTGATGAATTAACAAAATTATTTGTATATATTTTAGGAAAGAGATGCACTGACATCATATTGATCTGATAAAATTGCTAATATTTTAAAGTTAATATTTTTTTTTTGTATTTAGGGTTATTGCGGAGCATTGATACGGATAAAAAGAATAGATTTTATTGGGTAAACAGTCATGAAGTCACTTTTATTGCATGGTAGGTAACAGTTAAACATTTACATTATGAGAAATGATAAAATCAACAAGCGTGTACTATTTATTTTTATTTTGCGCCTTATTAATTATAACCAATGCATTTTCTGCATTTACACCACGTGATGTTGTAGTAAAATATATTTTGGTCCAATCTTATCAATTTAGCTTTGGTTTGAATTTCAGTGTCCACAAGGTCCATCACACTCCATTTAGCTTTGTTGTTATTTTCAGAATTTTAAACGTTTATATAAAGTCCATATAGCATCCCATCTAGCCTCATATTCATTTTCTTAAGAGAAGATAATCTATATATTTTTTATTGTAATATGGTAACAAAGTTAGAATATAGTGGTGTATAAAAAGAGATAATTAGATATTGTCTAGAACAATATTGATTCACACAGCTGCAAAACATATCATATTCGACAAGGGCCTCGTCCAATATTGGTTTATCAGTTGTGTGCTTGTCCAATAGAAGCCAGTATTGTACTCAGCAATGTATGAAAATTCCATAAAATTCACGATTATCAATCAGTTATCTTATTTATTTATTTATTTATTAATTATACAGATTTATTTTTAAATCATCTTGAGATATATTTATTAGTTGGTAATTTGCGCCACAGCTCTCCATGCTTGAATGTCATTTCTGTATGTTGAAGATATGAGAAATTCTTCCTAAATTGGGCATATCTACCGTTTTGCAACAGATGCAATTTAAACGTTTTAACATATAAGTGGGGACATTATGGATTGACGTCGGGTTGGTGTAGTTGGTCTCACTTTGAAGAGGAATCTTTTAATGTATGCATGTTATTACAGGCAAATCGGATTTATTAACTTAAGGAATATATTATATTAAGTTTTGTCCAAACCTTGAAATATATTTTATAGCCGGTTAAAACATTTCAAGTTATTCTAGATATATGTAATATTAGCCTCCTTAATAGTCCTTGTTTGTGTACCATTTATGTACGATGTGTGCATAAACTGCTCAACCCAAAGAAACGCATCTGTGTGCTCAATAAACATTATTTCTGTCACGTAAACGTTTATTGCTAAAATGTATCGTCTGTTTACGGCAACGATTGTTTAACGTTATTTAAGGAGATTTTAAATTTAAAAATGTCATATTGATCAGACGCATTTTTGAATAGTGGCTTTTATCAACAACTTATTGAAAATGACGGCGTTAAAAGAAGACAAAAAACGATGAAGTTCGGTGTGCAGTCCGGCAGTCACTTGCAAGAAACTTAAATGTACTAACAGGTACAGCGGTGTCTTGAGAAGCCTGTTTGTTTTTCAATTGTGTGATTTTAGACTTAAAACGCATAACGTTCTCGAGACAACAAAAGAGGTAATTGAGGGAGATATTCGTAACACATGTAGAGAAGTGTCTGAGTAGAATAGGATAAGTAAAACAAGCGATTAGTGGATGCTAACTGATCTTTAGAAGAAAATATCGAATTTGAGCGCTCGTTTGGTTCTAAATGGAAGAAGAAAAACAGGTTCGAATTTCAGCCACCAAGACATTTCTTTGTATCCAACACCACAGGCAAAACCTGCGCGATTACAAACGAGAACGAGAACAAACATATATTAAGAATGTGAAAAAAAACAGGCATTACTCCTGGACCTCGCACACACATTTCGCAAAAAGTGCCCATCCCTGTACAACAACATCTAGAATAAGACATTCCACCAGACAAACGCGTCATACCGCTGACAGGTCAGCTATATTTGAGATCTATGAAGTTTGTCACCCGTTATACTCACCTGATAATGCTACACTGGACTTACATTCCGCAATGCAACCCCAGCTTAATTTTTTTGTAGAAAAGAGAAAAGTTGTTATTTTATTTCCTCTTATTTACTTTTTATTCATAAATACTTTTTTAAGTTCTATATTTCAAAGTAGTTTTGACGGTCGATGTTTAATTAAATGACTTTTAAATTACATCCCATTTCATTCATTTAAAAACATCAAAACATTTCAGGGCAGTTGGTCAGCCATCAGCTGGAGACTGCACTCGGACAAACTTCCGGTCATTTAATACGGACAGAACATGGGAGACAGAAGATTGTAAAAATGAACTTGCAGACTATTTCATCTGCCAGACTGAAGAAGAAAAAGGAAAATGTAATATATTTTATGTTGACACTCCAGCACAAATCTTTTTAAACTTTCTATAATGTTTTTAATGCCAATAAAAAGAAATGGAAAAGATATGCAGACATTCTGATAGACATAAGCACACATTTGACTAAAATGAATGTGTTCACAGTCTGTGAAATTGAAAAAGAGCTATGTCTTCATTATAAAATAGATATATACATTTTTGTTAAGTAAATGGTGACTAACATTTAACATTTAACTAACATTTCTGTAAAAGACATTTTCATGTATTCTAGAACAGAAAAAATATGTACGAATTCTAGTAAAAAAAATGTGCACGCATTCTAGTGAAGAAATAGGCACAAAAGAAAAATGACGCATTCTTATAAAAGAAATATGCTCACGTTCTCAAACTACAGATATACTTACATTCGTACAGCTTGAATAATGTTTGGTTGGGTTATGGTCCTTGAATGAAAAGGGTGTTTTGGTCTGTTAATGATATTTGTGTTGCCAGCTACACGGAAGCTTGTTCAGACTACTCCTCTTAGAGAAATTTGATACAAATGCAACTTTTTTCTTTCTTCTACAGTAAACGTTTTTAACCAAGGAATGTGCAACTCGTTGTCAAAGAAAAACAAAAATGAAATCAATTACTCCTACTCTGGAAAGGCTTGTCAAAGATGGAGTAATTTAACAGAAAATAGTCATTTGGTAGTTGATAAAGACAGGGATTTATTTAACATAAATTCTGATTTATGTGAAGACCCCTCTGACTCTGGAATATTTGGTTGCAATGTGAATAACACTGTGATATCGTGGGAACCATGCTTCTTCTCACGTACGTATTGTTAAGGGTAACATAAACGAGGGTGGGTCAATATGTGATGTAATATGGTAAAATAATTTAACAAAAGAACAAATATTTTCTAAATTTTTTATTTTAACCCTTCGAAATTATCTCCTACTGATATGCAACGTTTCTGATGTTTAATCCAATTCTAAACTCTTTCAACTTAATCCTCTGTAGGTATACCTTTCAACATAATCCATTTCTACATGTATCGATGACACTTGTGAATCGCTTCGCAATGCATGGCCAATGAACAAATTGGTGACCATCTTTAGTATCTTATTGTTTTGCTATTTTCGACACGAATTTGTTTAAAATAATTAATATGACTTCATGCTTTTCTCTTTGTATTTGGTATTGTACTGCCATTGTAAATATGTTATATTGGCGATGAACATTAATATGATTTTGCAGAATAACATATAGAATTGAATTTAAATGAGTAAAATCTCCTTTATAATATTTAAAGAAAATGGTGACAGTCATATTGCAAAAACATTTTCAGTTTTTTGAGCGCATTTTATTCGTTTTAAGAAGTTATCCATCTGACAGTTATTTGTCCATTTCCATGAATCGTATTAGATGACCCTTTTGATATCATGGTGATATTGTTATCAGAGTAAATGAAAGCCTAGCATTTTTGTCAGTGAGAAAATTGACTTTATAAATTTTTGACAGTAACGATGGAGCTTTTTTAACATACTTACAGGCATCATTAATTAATTCATGCCCATTGTTATTATATTTCATTGCAATCTGATTAAAATCAGCTCTAAATAACGCTCCGCATTTAGATCTGACCATCTCAAAATACCGAGTCACTTCTACAAACAGCCGATCATCGGTGACCTTTTATAATTTTGAAAGTGACTCTGTTTCTATTTTAAACGCTGAAAAACAAATATCGAGAAGGTAATCATCACGGCTTAAATATATTGCGCTGGACAAACATGGCGTCGTCAAGAAACATAATTAACAATTGTTAGTAAGTTTGATATGGAACGACTTCTATGTGTTCCCTAGTTTGATAATAGTAAATATAAAGTTACTGATGGCCTACTCTGTAATCACTACACTTTCAACAACAGAATTTCTAATTCCTATTGTAACGAACGATTTAATTGGATGGCTAAAATTAGCAAACACGGGAAATCCGAATCTGAATGAAGGCGAAAAATCTAAGGTGGATATCAGATCCACATGTAAGAATTAAGTAGATCTGAACTTAAGTCAGATTGATGTCATTTCCTTAAATATATCAAATATCATTAAACAGTTATAGCAGATTTGCTTTACTGCACTTTTAAAAACTGAGGGTTTACCAGCCATATTTAACATGAAGTTACTTGTGCAAGGTTTTATTTAAATAAGAATAGAATTCTTAATCGGTTTATTACAGACTTGATTTTGGTATTACTTGAAAGCAGATGATACACCTCAAGTTAACCAAGCTAGACGTATTTTTTGAAGACAATTTTCCATTAAAACATATAACGTATAATTTTGAACGGACATAAACAATTTATCTTACAGGAGAATACAGTTTCTTTTTTGCATGAGTAGATCAAAACATCTGGTTATTTTTTGCAAAATATGGGTGTTTTAATGCACAATGATGTCTCACTGAAAGATGTCACCCTGAAACCTTCTTTATTTGATTTTCATTTCATGTTTTTAAAAATTCTCTTAAATGAATTTATTCCCTGTCTCTCACTTTCAATCTCTCTCTCTCTATCTTATACATTTTGAATAATATTATATATTTAAATTAACTTGATAGAAAGTGTGATTTAAATTCAAGAAACAAATCAAATGATGAATTTTTCTTTTATTGATTAAAAATCATTTGATAAACAAAACTGTATCTTTTAAACATTAACAAACCATTTCATATAAATTCACCCATGTTTATAATGTTTCAAGAATCCGATCCCGTGTCTGTCATAACAGAGAGTTTTGGTGACCATTTTTCATGCAACTCTACGGGACGCCATATACCACTGGTGAATAAATGTGATAAAACGTTCCATTGTGAAGACAAAACCGACGAAATGAATTGCACTATAAACAGTAGGAATTACATAATTAATCAGTATTTCTGTGTTTTTCATGCGCGATGTTTTACAAATAAGTAATGTAATATGCTCTTTTTTATTCAGATTCATCATAATTAATTGTGTGTGAAACATGCATGATGCGGCACTTAAAAACTTATCAAAATTTTTTATAGATGTTTTGAATAACGACTTCTTATAAAAAATCAACAAGTATTCACTGACGAAAAAAGAGAAAGAAACAAATACAATGCACAAAGTTTCATAAGTGACTACCTGAATTTGATTTACAGTCGGAATTTCACGGATTGTTTCAAATAAACACCAAACGTTAAAGCTCTTTATTAAATATAAAGTTATTTAAACAGTCATTATTGTAAAATCACATATCAATCTGCCATGTGATAACCAGTTCAAACTTATATAACTCCATTGAAAAAGAATGACATGATGCTGTTTTTTGTTGTTGTTTTTTAATGTTGATGTTGTTGTTGTTGTTTTGTACACGTATTTCCTTATACACTGACATAATATCATAAGATACTGAAGAACACACTTGAAATTATAACTCGAACTGTGTTGACGAATATGTTTCAATAATAACAAAGCATATCTATTTAATAATTTACTCTTATTCAGAACATGACCTTGTGCAAGACGTTGAATTGTTTCCGACAAATTTTCCTGTGAGACTTGAAGAAGGATCCTATTTCAAATGTGGAAGTAAGGAATGGATTTCCATAGCTGCAAAATGTGATGCTGTAATAGACTGTTTAGATGCATCTGATGAAATTGATTGTTTGCGAAAAAATGCAGGTAATATGAGCCTTAGTAGATTTTTGTAATTTCATTGCACATCTGTGTATCCCGTAATATTGTAATCAATTAGCTGAATCCTTTAAAATCAATTTAAAGTGAATAAATGGTAAAAAGGAAAATAAACTATTGGTGAGTGACCATAAAACTTATTTTAATAAGCATAACTCATCAAATTGCTGATTCATTTTAGTCGTAAACGTTTTAAAACATCGGAAGTTAGCGTAAATGAATTATTATTTTTGAGTTAATTTGTAGATTTGTCGCCCAATTTTTTTTTACTGTATATAATTTGGAATACAAATTAGCAAGTATGTTATAAATGTAGTGCAGAATAATGCAACAGAATTGCCTACGGCGTCCGTTAGAAATCAGATTCATTAAAGGGACTCCACTGATGTTTAAAAGCCTAAAATCATAACATTTGAATTTCTTACATAAATGAGCTGGGGCACTTTAAACAGAAATACATGCAAAGATAGTTAAGAAGTATACTTTAAAATCACTTGAAAATCGTATTTTATGCTTTTCTTAGCCCAATTTGAGTAAAAAGTGTTTATAAATAAACGCTTTTCATTTTGGGTCATTTTTTTTGCAATTTGAACAATTATTCTGGAAAAACGAAGCGCGCGAATGATCTGAAATTTTGCTCAAAGATTAGTGGTCTAAACCTACATCAAATGGTACATTTATCTTGAAAAAATATTTTCAGTCCCATTATGTCAAAAAACCTTAGTGGAGTCCTTTTAAATTTCTACCAATTTTAAAATTCATTAGAACAGTTTATACAGAGGTCTGTAAGTTAAATACTGAATGTTTTAATCAGTTGGATAAAATCATGTTATGCGAGCCACTGGCATTCATAATATTATTTTATTCAACGAATTTAGCAAATTCAGTAATGAATAAACACGAATGTAATACTCATTTATATCACATACCAATAATAAAGACCGTTTTAATTGAACAAGAAACGTTTAATTTACGCACCAATAGTATAACGCTAACAATTAGCGTGACTGAACGCTATATTTGTATAAAGCAAATGACGTCAAGTCAAAATATATGCACGGCCATGCATTATCATTTAAACGGAGTCGCAAAAGCGCCACGGGTATGTCATAAATATAATATAATATTTCCTGTACATTAATAAAGCATCGAAAATATTGAGATATAAAAAATTTAATAGTTTGTTTATGTTTTTATTTTGGTGATCCTATCGAATAGTAAAGCAATATTCGTTAGATGGTCTTTTTAGCATTATGACACGCCGGCCTCGTGAAGTATAACTTTAAAAAATAGTGATTTATTAAAATTATATGTGTTCTTTTCAAGAACGTTCAGATACAGACGGTTTGGTATTAATTTTCAATACCCCATCTGCATCCAGGCCACACCATGTGGAGAAACTCTTCCATGGCCCCCACATTTTTTGTTTGTTTGTTTATTCAGTAATTATGAGTTGTTAAAAAGCATTTTGATTAAAGCAAGCTAGCCGTTCTTTTAAAGAACTTATCAATTCAATTATCAAATAAAGATGTAGAATTTTTAAATCGCATTTGGAAAGTTGTCAACAAAAAAGATGAAGAAACATTTAGGTTCGAACTCCATATCACTATGAATATCCACGTCATTATGAAGTCAAAGTAAATGTATTAATAATGTATCAGATATATATTAAAGTGACATTACGTTAATTCTATCGCAAATTTATGATTAAGTATAAATTTATTTCAAAAGATTCACATTTATAATGGTGATGATGAAAATGATTAGCAAATAATATAGAAAAATGCCTAACTAAAGGATTTCCCCCATTAAACTTAACCTATTCATTCAATGTCAATTAAAGTGGGTGCGAATATGTTATGACTATACAATGTCAAGACCATTTTTGATGAAAAATTCAGTATATTTTGTCCTATGATCATTTAAGTTGGTAGGGAAGTTGATTATCATGCACAGATGACCCCAATTGATTTTAAGATCAGTAGGTCAAAGGTCACATAATGTATGAAGAGGGGAGATATTTGTGTTCTTCGAACTTTTGTTCAAAATATACACACAGTTCAATTTTTGTGACCTCGTGTACATAAAATGTTCATGTTTGATCGCCACAACACGTAACTATGCAAGATCAAAGGAAGTTAGAATTCCTTTGTTCCTGCATTAGATATGGCCCTTCCTTACTTTTTAAACTGTATACATATTTCACAAGTTGTGTAACTTAAATTACTGACTTTAACAAAAATCCTACTGCCGGTGTTTAAATATTTAACTTGTTATGTGTTTATAACAACACCTTAATTTAAATGGTTATTATTCAATGAATAATAAAATGAAGCACTTCGTTTTGAAACTCAAAAAACGGACTTTCTCTGATGTATATATTTATTGTTGTGACTTCAATACTTATAAAGTATTATACATTGATTTTTAATATACTAGGATGCAACAAAAACGAATTTGCTTGTGCTGATGGAAGCTGTATAAAATTAGGTCAAGTCTGCGATTTTAAACCAGATTGCACTTATGCAGAGGATGAATTCTGTGGTAAAGTTGGCAAACCTTATCATATTCTTTTCTAATTGTATCAAGTGTTTTGCTTGATGGATTTATATGTCGTTCAAAAGAAAATGTCTCATTTTAATCGAATGCAGTTTCTGTAAAATGAACTGAAATATTAAATGTCGAATGTGACAAAAAAAGTAAAAGTATTTATGTGAATGAAATTTATTTCCTAAGGTGAAATTTATTTTGACTTGAAATTCGGTTTCATCACTAAAAGTTAAAACGCAGTTATTTGGTATTAAACAACTATAAGAGAAAGCTTTTAAGACTTTGACATCTTTTAAAAACGAACACATCAACTTAATGTCTACGGTATGCATTTACAAATGTGACGTTCTCTCACTTGGTAACGTAAATCTATGATAATGTTTCTTCGGTTTTAGACTAATCAAATTGCCCAGTGGCATGGTTTTATTTTTGACAGATCTATGTTTTATTTTAAACATTATAATATCAATCGTTGGTCAACAACCATTATAACAGTAAATCTTTTGATATTTATAATTAATTCAGTCCAACTTGACAATTGATGAATAACGATTAAGTAAATCAATGAATAAAATTGGCATAATGTTTCATATGAAAATCCATTTGAAATTGTATTGTTGACATATTAAAGATCATCGACACAAGAGTTTTCTGAATTTTCCCTTTTGAAATATTAACTAAGCGTTCAAATACCAACGAAGACATTTTGAATTATCCAGCTATAGCTATATTGTAACTGTGTATATGCACATCAAGGACCTTAGAGAGTTACAATTTTATAACTTATCAATCATAACACTCTAGTAAATATGTAATACACACAAGTTTTTATCTTTACATGCGTAGAGCTTCGAAATTGTGGACTGAATGAATATGTATGCGATAACAAGCAATGTATTCCTTACAACAAGAGTTGCGATGCAGTCCCGCACTGTCTAGATGGTAGCGACGAAATAAAATGTGGTAAGTCATCATGCGATTTTAGAATTTCACAAACGTGCTCATGAAGACATGACTTTGCTCTCACACTTATCAAAGTTAAATTAATTATTCAAAAGATAGCTTTATTCTTTTTTAAGCGTCTTGTAGAGACTCTTTCCATTGCGATGTTGACAGATGTATAAATAATATACTGGTTTGTGACAAAGTGCGTGACTGTCAAGACGGTAGTGATGAAAGTGATTGTACGGATAACAACGTTTTAACATGCGGGGATTTGTGGGAAATAGGTTATCATGAGTCGGGTCAATACCTTATAGGTACGTAAATCATTTATATTCCTCTGAGTTTTAAACTATGTATAACGATATTATTTAATAATTATTAATCAAACATTGTTGCTTTTTGTCCCGTGCAAAGACAAAGCGAATGGTATCTATGGTCGGGAGTTGGATTAAAAAATTTTCATTATAAAATTATCTTAGTAACCGACCTAACTGTCGATGACTCTCTTGGCAGGAATTTGTTCCGTTTTCCCTTGGGTTTCCATGGAAGAGCAGGCGTAGGCAGCGAGTTATAAAGCATTTGTAGTGTCTGTTTAACCATCGCAAGCGTCTTGTTTGGATGGCTTCTGCTATGGTTGAAATCTATATTTGGTTGTGCACCTCTTCGTTTAAAATGTAATTGTGCCAAAAGATAAATGTTGGGATTTCATCAAAGAGATTCATTGGCAATGGTAAATGATGTATTCCTGCATTCTGATCTGTACAGGACACTGAAATATGGCTGTTTGAAGATCAAGACCTTTATGTGAGTTTATGATGAATATCAAAATATAATCTAATAGTCCTTTAATGGTGATGCAAATCTTCATATGGAATTCAAATTGTCAATGCCTGGTTTGACTCGCTAATCCTAGTATCAACTTCTTTGTCTTTTTCTTGTGCTTTCTTATCAAAATTGGATTGTTGCTGTTGTTTGCTTTTATCCTTATGGCCTGTGTTTTTTTAGTGTCGATTGTTAAACGTAACTGGCTTGTTTATTTACTGATGAACTCTGACTACTTTTGGATGTATTGGTGCCATTTTGCTAGGAGCCCAAGGTCATAGTCTTAGTCATCAATGTTCTCTGTAAACCCCGTCTTTTTGTGTAATTTTCTTCCTTGTCCAGTTGATTTGACAGATAGGGCGACACAATGCAGTCTTGATATATTCCATTTAAACCTCAAAGGGATCAGTTAGCTGATTTGATTGCTTAATACCACAGGTAATAAAATAGTTTGTAGAGGGATTGGATAATATGAATCAATTTCTTTGCGATGTCATATTGACGAAGGAACCTCAAAAGTAAGTCATAATGTAGACTGTCGAACGCCTTCCTTAAATCAACAAGCACACCATAGAGTGTGCTCCTCCATTCTCTTTACGTCTTTAAAATTCGTCTACATACAATTTGTCATTACCGGATTATATTTTCCTGAGACTGGCCTTTAACTGACGTAATAGTTCTCATACGGCCTCTGTACTACGATGTTATATGATGGGGCTAAATACCTTACTTGTAAGATGAAGAAAAGTAATGCCAAACAAGTTTTTGTAGTCTCCCAACTCAATTTTCTATGACAGCTTGACTGTGACTCCCCTCTTCTAATCATCTGGGATATCCTCCTTGTCCCAAATATCTTGAAGGATACCCTGCAGTTGTGTTGGAGTGTGCGGTCTGAATTCCGAAACTGGACGATTTTCTATGACTACTAATGTTAAACATGCATAAAAAATACTCTGAAAATCGGACAGCAATTTAAGAGTCAACTTTCTGTGTATTTTAATTGGGATTAAAACTTTATCAAAACAGTTGACATATTCAACTACCTGTTTTATTGTTGCAGGGGTGAACACACTTGTCAATGTTTGTTAATTTTTTATAGGCAATTAATTTTTAGCTCTTTCATCATAATTGTAATCACTGTATAGTTAAGATTTTTCCGAACTTGTTGAGGTTATTTTTGTATATATATAATGCAAAAAAAATAGAAATGGGAAACTCTTGTTAAATGATTCTTATTTTGCTTGCTTGGAATTTTGATCTTAATGTTCCATTATTTGGGCATTACTTTTATGCAAAAATAATAATAATAAACTCCATTTATTACATATCTCAAAAGCCACCGGAAAAGTTAAATTTAAGACGTGTTGCTTTATTTTCTTATTTTCTGAATTATATTTATGAATATACATAATAAAATTACTCAAGATATTTGTTGCAAAAAAGATATTAAAATATACCTAAGAAAAAAGGTTTGATAAGTAATCTAAAATGATTAAAACCAAGTCAGTGTTCAAATACATCATAATGATCAATAAATTTAGAAAACCTCTGAAAACCGGAATCCTCTGAAAACCGGACTTTTAGTCAAGTCCGGGCAGAGTTCTGTTTTCAGAGGTTTTACTGTATAAGGTAGCTGACCTTTCCTTTAACCAAAGTGTGATCTCTCGGGAGCAGTAATCACAATAAAATTACATTAACTTTGCAGACTCTGTCCGAAGAAAAGACAAGCAGCCAACTCGTGTAATTAGTTTTGGTGATAAGAGATTTGCTATCGGCTTGTTAACCTCACAATTCAACCTTTCTATCCTGCTTTTCTAGCTCTACTAGTTGAAGTAGTATTCCCTGTAGTTGTTTCCGTCTTAAGTGTAAGCACTGCAGGGTAGAGTTGCCTGACCTTATTCGGGTTTCGGACCGACCGTGGCGCCGGTTATATATTCAGATCATTTTTAAGCGCCGTACATCCTTGCCATTAAATTAAAGTAATGAAATAAACCGTATGTAGATATCATAGATATCATGAAGAATTGTATGTGCTGTATCTGACGTTATGCAAAAATAAATACACATCGAGTTAAAGTAAATGCCATTTAATCTTACTGTAACATGAACTTGAAAAACAATACTATTTTCAGACGGTATAAATGTGTACTGTGACTATAGATTAACAGGAGAGGCATCTAGATCAATCACAATGGAAATCAGAAATTTAGATTGGGATCCCAAATTTGCTGTTATACAAACCTTATCTTCCAGGGAAAAGTTTCCGTTGGATTTAACTTTACGGGGTTTATTTCACGATTTGGTTTTTAGGAACAACAGTTGTTGCACGATTGATGTGAGTCAAAGATGTTTTCGTTATTTGCTTTTCTAGCTTCTTACGATAAGCATTGTACCCTGTCTTTGGTTTACTAAGTTTAATCATAAATAATCGATTGAAAAATTAAAATTGTCTTACAAAATACATTATATTATTTTCAAAAAATAATGAAAATGATACTGGTATCCATCTATTTAATGTATTTCAATCATTTGCTTAATTTGAAAGATTATTTATCAAAAGTATAAAATTGCAATTTCTCTGAAATTATATGTTTTCTATATTAAAGACGTCATATTATCACTTTAAAATGAATTCAAAATATTTCACTTGATTATTTTCTCTACAATTTTACAATACTTCCTTTTTTGTCATTGTATAGGTCAAAAGTACATGTCACCTATCAGAATACGCTGCATCAATTTACGACTTGAAATATAAGCAATCTACTAATATAACTTGTCAATGCTCACTCAAGACATTTATGTTAGCCAACATTGCATATCATCCCAGTGGTTCTCTTCCACTCCAAAAAGATTTCGGGTAATTTTTGTTAGCTTTTATACTTATATTCTATCAAATATAACGCATAAAAGTATTCGATTCAGAGCAAAACATCTGTTTGCATTCGTGTATGAAGTAAAGGAAACATTGTATTACTGAAAAAAAAAAGATAACAGATCATGACATTTGTAAGATTTTCAATAGAACAGATTACCTGATGCACTCTCTTTTATATCAGAAAAAAAGTTATAATACATTTAGGGTCTTCAAGATAGAAACAAAACGGCCTATATAGCTATCAAATACAAGAGGGTTTAGATTTGCCTTACTTTTTTTAAATAAGTTTGAAATAAATAAAAAAGAACTATCTAATGTCCTTATTCATGCAAGTGGGAGTGCTTGCGTGCGAGCGAATTGGCGAGCGTGCGTGCATGTGTATGTGTGTATGTATGTGTGTGTGTGTGTATGTATGTGTGCGCGTGCGAGCCCGCAAGCATGTAAGTGTGTGTTTGCAAGTGTTTGTTATTGTTCTTTCAAATAAAACAGAACATTTGTCACGTGAATTATCTTCAGGTTTTATCGGAGAAATTGGGATGTTTCTACAGTCAAAATGAATATTATATTAAATTATCAGATAACTTCAGGTAAATTAAGTATAATGCTAAATATTTATTTTAAAGGTGTATAATCTATGTGTTTTTATATCTTTTTTGTTATTCAAGATCTTTGATTTTAAAACTTAATGTGAACGTTAAAGGGGCGTCAGCAATGTTCCACTTAGCATATCGTTTATGAACATACTTAGCCTGTCGAGTTAGCCTGTCAAGATCGTTGTTTTATATTATTTTTGTTTAAACAGTAAATGTTATTTTGAGAAATATATTAATGTCATGAATTCATAAACTTATTTTTGTAGAATAAAATATTTAGTAGACCACGACACGAAGCACAAACAACTGGCATCTTGCAATGGAAATGAAACGGTTCTTTATGAGCCGACCTACTACACATTTGATGGAAATTTATTATATGTTAATCTAAGCGTGGTGGAGGGAACAGTTCCGATTGACATCAGATTAAACAAGATTTTGTGCGCTTATAGTATGTTTTGTTTTTGGATATATTATTTTTGTAAACTTTTCTTACATGCCAAATTTTAGGAATTATCAAAAGATTTTGTCAATAGGCATTTCGCTACCACAAATTTCTCTTAACAATCAAATGTAAAAGTATCTAGATTACCAATTAAATATCAAAACTTGATGAGTACATTATAAAAGAATATACATGTTTTCTGACATATGAAAAATAATTCTTATCAAAACGCTTTAATCAGTTTACAAATTTTCTACAACGACAACTTTTATATGCCATTTACAATAAAAATATTTTATTTAATATATACTTATATTGTAACATAAATTGAAGAATAAATTATATTATTCTCAAACAAAACTTCGAAAAATAGATTACTCCGTGGCATTTGATGAAGACTTATATGAGTGTTACGGAGATAACATGACGATAAGAAAATCTCAATTGTGTATATATGACGAAGATGCAACAGGTTATATAATAGGATGTAGGTCGGGGATGCATCTGCAAAATTGCGGTAAGTAAATAGTTGAAGTAGACGTCGATTTCATATGTACATGTATATTTTTAGTTCATTAAGGACTATTGTAGTCTCTCTATGTCTCTCTCTGTCTCTCTCTCTCTCTCTCTCTCTCTCTCTCTTCTTTCGGTAAGATCACTACGTGGAGAGGCACTTGTATCAGGAGAAGACATACATGGTGGGAAAGAAATCATCCTTAGCACTGCTGTTGTACTGATCAAGGCCGGGGAAGGGGGTTGTACTACTACAAAAAAGACAGAATGACGAGTAAAATGCGCTAGACCTTAGAACGCAAAAAAAAATTCAAGACATAACATAAGCTGGCATATTAACCGTTTTCAGGCTACCCTTGTTTCCATTTTAATTACATGTTACATTCGTTTCAAGTCTTTTCAGAGGTAATGTGACATTTTTCGTCCAAATATTATCTGTTGTCATATTACACGAGAATTTGCACAATTAGTGCTCCATAATTCAGCCCTTAAGGTCATGACTGTCAACATGCCCGGAGTCCTTACCTTTTGTGTTTGAAAGGCCTGTAGACCCTCATTACTTATAGACATCGAGCCCATTTTTCAGAATTATATTTAAAAAAAACTATGATGGTAGTTGTTATCTTACTCCAGCAGAAAAGAACGGAGTGACCAGAAAATGAATTCAGTAAGCCTATGACAGAAATTGAATCAGAAAAATGCATTTTTTGAACTCCTGTAAGAAACAGACGGCAACATACATTATAATCTTCCGTATATCTGGATGCAAAATGGTCCGAAAATATCTGGTGGATCTGCAGAACTATGTCGTTAATATTGTTGATGTACTGATGTATATCTAAATGTCACGGATATACGTGAGTTCTCACTCGGGAGGATAGGGCGTTCAAAGAGGAACCTGTAAATATATTGTTGGCACACAATAAAATATAAATACGGAGTCAATGAAAAACAACAGCTCTCGCTAAAAGTTCTCATTTCTTGTGCTATTGATAATTCCAAGCGAAATACATACACATATCATAGTAATTCATGTTTACAACGTTTTATAACCTCAAATATACCTGTAAATATATTGTTGGCACACAATAAAATATAAATACGGAGTCAATGAAAAACAACAGCTCTCGCTAAAAGTTCTCATTTCTTGTGCGCATGCGTAAAGGTTAGCGTGACCGAATTCAAAAATGAAGTGAATGAGGCCCGTCAACGTGTTACAGGTCAAATGAAGTTATTAGTATGAAGTTGAATAATGATATGAATGATTGAAAAAGAGACGATAGGGGAATGATATAGAGTATGGGTATGAATTACAGAGTATTCTAGCAAGGACAAAATGACCCTGTGACATACTTCCCCGCCAAGGATAAAATGGCGTCCCGACATTTTCAACTCATAAACAAAAATTACTGATACCTGCATATATATCAAAAACCATACTGTCTAACTACAGTAGAACTTATACTAAGGACATGGGACTCGTTAAAGTACTTCTGTCCTAACAGTGAAATTACCCATAAAGGTAATGTATACTGCTTGAAAATGCTGTAAGGCATTAACAACCAGAAAAGTGCCCGAAGCACTGTTGGGAATGGTGAACGCGTTCTTTGGGATTGTGAACCATGCACGTTAGTACACTGACTCATCTACAAAACTGTAGAACTTGTGTTATGTTTTCACATTACACAATATTCAAAGTAACTCTTTCAGAGTAAATAGAATTTGTCAAATCTCTTTGTAGAAATTTTACAAATCGGTTAAATACAAACCATACATACAAATATATATGACGAAACCCTACATTCATATGATAACACATATGAATAAACACTAATCTCAAACATCAGTAAACCAACACTGACAATTTGAAATTAAGATTATACAAAACTCAACTGAAACAATTTATTGTTCTCATCTTTTATACAAATTTAAACAATTTACAAAAAATGACAAAATCAAATTTGACATCTGTCTGAGAATCTGTACTATCGTTTCCTACTCAAATTCCAATCATCAGTCATCCAGCGTGGCTTCTCTCTTACTCTAGAAGTTCTTCGTGGAGTAAAAGGTGGAGCTTCCGGTCTTAACAAACTATTACCTGACCGTCTTGCAGGAATCACATACTTATCGGATTCCGCGGATACGACTGATGGATTGTCTGAAATAGAGTTTTTAATGGAAGTACTCGAAGACTCAGAAGGTTTAGGTGCTGCTGTGTCTGAAAAGGAAAAAGAACTGACAGGAGAATTTCGCTGAAAACTGCCATTACTGGGAGAGTGATGTGACAGTCGTTTCGGTTCCTGTAGTGGGAGACCCATGAACGGGAGTAGCATATTACGGTGAAGTAACTTTGGTGCACCATCACTATCTTCCGGCTTAACCTGAAATATAGGTAAGTCTAGGTTAGGCTGATCAACTACAATGTAGATAGTTTTACTCCAACGATCAGCTAACTTACACTTACCTTTTAAACCAACGTTCCTCACCAATACACGGTCACCTGGAATAAGGCGTACTTCCCGAACACGAAGATTGTAGCGCTTCTTATGTCGCTTTGCTTGACGTCTCGCCTCACGACTAGCAACTCTGTAAGCGAAATTTAAGCGCTTCCTTAAGCCTTCAACAAATTCAGCTGGCTTCTTGGTGTGAAAAGAGATGTCTGGGTCGATCCCGAGGAAAGCGTCTAATGCAAGGCGAGGATGGCGCCCAAACATAAGAAAATGTGGTGTCAGACCTGTCGTCTCATGCCGAGTTGAGTTGTAAGCATGTACAAGTGCTGGTACATGAGCTTTCCAATTCAGCTTCTTCTTATCCTCCAAAGTACCTAGCATATTCAGAAGTGTCTGGTTGAACCTTTCAGGCATTCCGTTACCCTGGGGATGATAAGGCGTAGTCCTAGACTTAGCGATGTTAGCAAGCTGACATAACTCCTTTATAACTGCTCCATCAAAATTCCTGCCTTGATCACTATGTAGGCGACTAGGGAAACCATAATGACAGATGAAATTATCAAAAAGTGCTTTCGCCGTGGTGCGTGCCGTTTGGTTCCTAGTCGGTATGGCTTGTGCATAATGGGTGAAGTGATCAGTGATTACTAACACGTTCTCATATCCACCTGCTGACATCTCTAAGGTCAAAAAGTCCATGCAGACAAGCTCTAGAGGATAAGAAGAATGGATTGGAATAAGTCCTGCAGAAGTTGACAAAGGTGTTTTCCGCCGAATACAACGAGGACACTTCCGTACTCGAGTTTCAACAAAACCATCCAAACCTGGCCAAAAGAAACGAGATTTAATGAGGGAATTGGTTCTGTCAATACCCTGATGTCCGGCATTGTCATGGAGACCGGTGAAAACCATATCCTTAAATGAGTCTGGCAGAACAAGCTGATCTACGGGATGATTACATACCTGACCATGACGATAAAGTATACCA